GAAATCAATATGGAGATACTACAATGGCACCGACGATTGGGACATCCTTTATTTTTTGTTTTAAAAAAATTATATTGTAAATTATTTAAAAGAACTTTTATGTAATCTTTATTTTGTGATGCATGCAAACTTGCTAAACATAAGAGAAGCTCTTATCATTTAAGTAATAATAGAAGTATTAATCCTTTTAAAACTATTCACTCTGATGTGTGGGGATCTACTCAGAATACCTCTCTTTTTGGTCATAGATGCTTTATTACTTTTATTAACTATTGTACTATATTAACATGAATTTATCTGTTAAAAGTAAAAAGTAATGTATTTTCATGTTTTCAATCTTTCCACAAAATAATATGCACACAATTTGGTGTTAAAGTTACGATTCTGCGAACTGACAATGGTACAGAATATATGAATAATTGGTTTCGCACCTACTTGAAGTCAAATGGGATAATTCATCAAACAAGTTGTGCCTACACCAGTAAACAAAATGGGGTTGCCGAAAGAAAAAACAGATACATACTAGAGATAGCTCGATCACTAATATTTACTATGAATCTACCAAAGAGTTACTGGAGATATGCAGTTCTTTTAGCTGTCTATCTTATCAATAGAATGTCTTTATGGATCCTGAATTTTAAAAGTCCTATGGAGGTTTTGCAAGGAAAAAATTCCTACATTGTTCTCCCAAAAGTGTTTGGATGTGTGTGTTTTGTTTATACTAGAAATGTGGGTAAACTAGAACCTAGAGCTCTTAAGTGTGTATTAGTTGGATATTCTTCTACCCAAAAAAGCTATAAGTATTATCATTCACCATTTAGAAAATATTTTATAACTATAGATATTACCTTTAGGGAGAATGAGCCTTACTTCAACTCAAACCTAACACCTCTTCAGAGAAAGAGTGAGAAGGAAGAAGTGATACCTAATTGGGTAACGATTGAGAATCATATTCAGGGGGAGAATTCTATTACAAAAAGTCTTAATCAAGAAAATAAAGTTGGCCATCTAGATAAATCAAACTTAAAAAGGTATTTAAGGAGAAAGAAGTCTGAAAAAGTCATTATGCAGTCTGTCTCAGGTCAATAATCTTCTTTGGTTCCAGAATATACTAGTGAGTTATCTTTTTCTTGTGATTTATCAGATAAATCTATTGCTATTAGAAAGGAAACGAGAACTTGCACTAAGTACCCTATATCTAACTTTGTTTTCTATGACTCTCTATCTCCCTCCTATAAAGACTTTGTCTTGTCTGTTTCCTCTATCTATTTTACAGGATTGGAGAGAAGCACTAGGAGATCCCAAGTAGAAGAAAGTCATGATTGAAGAAATGAGAATATTGACAAATAATGAAACATGAGAACTTATTTCACCTCTACAGGAAAATAATATAGTTGGTTGTAAATGGGTGTTCACTGTAAAACACAAAGCAGACGAATCGATCGAAAGGTACAAAGCTAGATTGGTAGCTAAAGGATTTACTCAGATCTATGGGATTGACTATCAGTAGACATTTGCATCTGTTGCAAAAATGAACACAATTAAAATACTTTTGTCTTGCACAGCTAACCTTGATTGGAATTTATAACAGTTTAATGTAAAAAATGTATTCCTCCATGAAGACTTAAAAGAAGAGGTGTATATGAAAATTGCACATGAATTTGAAGATGAGATGATGCAAAGAAAAGTTTGTTAATTAAAAAAGGCTTTATATGAATTGAAGCAGTCTCCAAGAGCATGGTTTGAACGGTTTATAACAGTTATGATCTCTTTTGAATATCAACAAAACAATGCAGATCATACCTTATTTATTAAACATCGTGAGGATAAAGTCACTCTTCTCATTGTTTATGTGGATGATATTGTAGTAACTGGAGATGATACAAAAGAGATCGCTCGGTTGAAGGAACTTCTTACTCAAGAGTTTGAAATGAAAGATTTAGAAACATTGCAGTACTTCTTGGGGATTGAAGTTGCTAGATCCAATAAAGAGATCTTCATTTTTCAAAGGAAGTATATCCTAAACTTAGTAGAAGAGACTGCTATGAGGATTGCAATGCGGCATAATCACCTATTGAGAGCAATCACAAATTGCAAGCAAATAGTAGTACATCAGTTGACTTGGGAAGATACCAGAGACTAGTTGGAAAACTCATTTATCTCTCACATACCAGACCCGATATAACATATGCTGTTAGTCTTGTGAGCCAGTACATGCATGATACTCGTGAGACTCATTTACATATTATCTTCCGCATATTACGATACCTGAAGTCTGCACTATGAAAAAGTCTGCTCTTTTCTAAGCATGGTCACCTTAAAATAGAAGCATTTACAGATGCCGATTGGGCTGGTTCCCTAAATGATAGAAGATCAACTACAGGGTACTGCACACTTGTAGGAGACAACTTAGTCACGTGGAAAAGTAAGAAACAAAGTGTGATTACTCGCTCCAGTGCTGAGTCATAATATAGAGCTATGACCCAAGAAGTATGTGAAGTACTATAGTTGCAAAAGCTAATGAGAGAGTTAAAATTGCTTGAAAATGAGAAACTATCCATGTTTTATGACAATGAAGCAGCAATTAACATTACTCATAATTCAGTTCAACATGACACGACAAAACATATTAAAATTGATCGACACTTCATAAAAGAGAAGGTGATTGGTGGCTCTCTATGCTTGTATCATATATTTTCTGGCGACCAAGTGACTGACATTTTCATTAAAGAACTATACAACAAATCTTTTCAGAACCTGATTTGCAAGTTGGGCATGTGTGATATCTTTGCGCCAACTTGAGGGGGAATGTTGATAAAAATTTTATATTAAGTAGAATACTATATTATTTATAGTTCTAATAATATAATTATATTTTATAATTAGAGTTTAAATAAAATAAAAATAACTACTCTATATATATCTTCTAAATATAAACAAACAAGGAATAAAAAATTAGAAGTCTATTTTCTCTAAAAACTTCATAAACATACAGAGGAGCAAGAAGTCACCTTCAGCAGCTAGATTTGCCACCACTTTTACAGCATGAATCCGCACATCAGCATCTTCCGCTTCGAGCAATGACAAAATCTTTTGCAACCCCACTTTAGAGCACCGAAATTTTTAGTGAAAAGAAAAAGAATAGTGGATAGATCGCCACATGCAAGTATAATAAAAAAACTACTATTAAACATAAGTTTGTCAACTGACTCTTACCCTG